GCTGGCAAGGTACACGAGGGGATGGGTGGCCAGCACCACACCCGACCACCTTTGTCTTCCCAGTGGCAATGTTTACACACCATACCAGGTACTCATTTTATACTTGGCCCTGAATCGGTTCAGATAATTGTCGCCGGGACAACTACAACAACAACCACCGTTTGCCACGATGTCGCGGTGACGTCACCACGGCGCTTGTGCCAAGCTAGGTGCATCTACACACACATGTAGAAACATCCACACATCCGCACACACGCACGTACAATCATGCCCCCATGTCGCCTGATAGGATATTTTCATAAATCTACATGCTTGTGTAAGACATGTATCCAGAGAGCTGATCAAACACATTCAGTCATTCTTGGCATGTTCCCATGAACTTCTCTTATTGATTCCTTCCCCCGGTGTTGAGGACTCGGGCTGCCAAACACTGTTTCATCTCATCCACCACGCTGTGTTCAACCACAACACCTCACTGCAGGTCACAGCAACACACCCACTCGCTCGCTCGCTCGCCCTATCGCCGACTCAACAACAGCAACAATCGCTTGGTGGTGAAAGACGTCACCACGACACTTGTGTGCCAGTCCAGGTGCACTTTGAGGCCACGCGAAGTGTCGAAGGCTCCGCTGGGAGAAGGTCAAGGGACGGACCCAGATGCCATGAGTTGACTTGACTGAGATGACTGGCAAATGTGTCGCTCCTCTGTCCTCTGCTGTCGTTGCCTCCAACTGCCCAGCAGCGTCCTTCACGAACCTCCACAGAGGCCAATCTTGACACCGCTAGTACCAGTTATTGCCAAGTCCAATCAGCTCCACATCCTCCTGTACCACATCACTCCATCTCATCTCTAGCCCGGGCTTAGCATGCGGACTACATGACCCAGCCAACGCAGCATCGCCTGCCGGAGGAGCTCAATGATGGGGATGTGACCAGATCTTTCAAGGATCTGTGAGCTCCTCACACAATGCAGCCTGGTGAAAGCCAGGATGGATCATAGGCAAGTCAGCCTGGATGATTCACTCACGCACTCACTCCCAGTCATGCTCTTACTCACCGCACTGCAGGTCACAACAACACAACAAAGACAAAGATCTCCCGTATAGCCTGAACAAACTTTTGGGGCAAGTGCTGTTGACGTCTTAGGATACGAGGGATTTCCCACACTTTACCCCACCACACGCGACCTGCCGATTGACCAAGTGCGGCGATGTCTGTCTGTACGTTGAACTTCTTTCACACCGGACATCGCCAACCGTGCTAATCAGAGGTGCGGGGGAAGGACAACAAACTAAACACAAAAATCAGTTCTAAAGAAATGAGTTTGTCAATCTAGATGATGATGATTTAAAAGTGCACACAGCTCCCAGTGGCTTACTCATATCGGAAGGGGAAGAGCGTTCCAGACGGCCGCAGAAACGCATCTGAAAGCGCCGCGCGATGCGGTGACCACCGCCGTCTTTGTTTGATGGTTCGCCAAAAGCCCCTGTGAGGATGACCGGAGTTCTCTTGATGGTTTATACTCCTTGATGAGATCAGCGAGGTATCTCGGTTCGTTTGTGGCGAGCACTTTGCGTGTAATGAGTGCCACCTTACAAGGTATTCGTTCTGCAACCGGAAGCCATTGCAGCTCGGTGAGCACTGGATAGACATGGGGGGGGGGAGGCGGGGAGGAGGGGTGTAAGAAACGTGCACCCCCATCGTTTCGGTTGCCGCGATGGGAGATGGAATCGAACCGGCGACCTCTGGATGTCAAGTCCAGTGCGCGAACCCATAGCGCTGTGTGGTATTGTGCCGTCCAAACTGCGCACCGTGCAGTCGGCCACCGTAGTCTGCGCTGCTTCCACGGCTGCAGGAGGAGGAACGGCACAACACTTCACGAGCTCTCTCCTGAAGCCCTCGCGGCGTGGACAGCAGAGCCCGACATTGGCGTCTATCTCCTGAACGTATTGTCACGTACAGGAATAAGAATAGTCTATGGGCAATGTGAGCCTACTGCCAATATTAAGCCTATGGGCAATGTTAATCCATGGGCCATGAAGTAAATCGCATTGGCGTTTAGCTGCTGGACACATTGCTGCGTGCCATCGTGCGCGGGGATCGATCGGTCTAACAGTGCAATGAAACATTCCTGGGAAAGAAAAAAAACTGTAAACACTGAAAGGTAGAAGTGACGCCGGGGGCCATGGGAACTGGCAGAAATTCCTTCGGAGGAATCTTGAATCGTCGATTAACGACCTCACAACGACGTCCGGGGGCGAGTGCGCGTGTTGCCGCGTTGCCGCGTGTGGCCCGGCCACGGGGGCGTGGGGGAGGGCCCGGCCGCGAGCGGTGGCACGGCCGTGGCACTTCCTCGGCGCTGACGCAGGTGACACAGAGTCGTGGCGGTTCTCCTGCGTCGTGACGAGGCCGTGTGAAATGTCTCTGTTTGGTCTCATTTCTCACAGATTTTATGCCGGGTGGGGGGGGGGGCATGCAGGGGGGGCAGGCAGGGGGGGCAGGCAGGGGGGGGGGGCGGCGGGGGGGGGTTCCCATCACATCACATTTATAATCAACAACACGCGTTTTGAGCGTTTGGGCTGCTGTAAATGTCTCCACGTGATAAGCCACTTCGTTGAACTATAATTTGTGATGGCCAGGCCGCTTCTGAAAAATAGCCCTATAGCTCAGTGGGCCTTAGCTGGTTAAAATAAAAAACAGTTTAGTTTTATAGTTTATAGATGCCCCTCCGTCAGAACAAGGTGTGCGCTGCATCGGCCTACAATTGGACATCGTTCAGGTGGAGGAGTGCGGGCGGGGGTGGTGGGGAGAGGGGCAGGGGGGTGGTGAATAACGAGACACGACAGCGACGCGCACACACGCTGCGCTCTCCCTGTTGTGCCAAGAAGTGTTACCGGCCGCAGGTTTTCCCTGTCATCGAACCGGGGCTCTTCCCCCGGTGGCTGCCGTGACAGCTCGGCGCAACAAACCGCACCGCGATTAGCCGCACGGGCGCGCCGCTAGGGAGCCCGTCCGGCAGCGGCTACCCGTTTTCCCTGCCGTCGTTCCGCCCCCCCCCCAGTGGTAACATCATGGCGAAGCAGTGGGAATCATTCAGAGAAGGCCCCCCCCGTACACGCGTTTGGTGCCGTGTGGGAATTTGCCAAAACGTCACATCGTCTCGTATTTACAGGCATTCCTTGACATACGCCATAGAGGCGTTCCTAGAAAAGCGCACGTTTTATCTCAAAATCGCATAGGTCAAAAGCAATTTTCCCATAAGGAATAATGGTAAAGGAGGGGGTTAGAGGATTTCACTCACACTTGCAGACATAATCTCCTATATTATCCTCGCCTATATCAATACAATACAAGCACACACAATATTATACTCGGTCATCAATTCTTAACGACCTGTGTCCCTTGCTACAGTACCCCTCTCAATAATAACCCCCTTCCACTCTGGATGTTCACCATCCGAGCCACCTGCGTTCTTCATTATCCCTTCACACTTCATCATCGTCCCGCACCGGCAACGCCATTGGGTCGCGGAGCCAGGCTAGGGTGGGGCGTACGTCACGTTGCGGGTGACGTTATTCCGAAAATCGCCTCGCGTACGTCAATAAAAGATCTCAAATATTTCCAGAGCGCCGACGCGTTACTCCAAAATGGCGTAGCACAAAAGTGCGTGAACTGAGGGCTGCCTGTTCCGGCACATCTCCACCGTCGGTACAATACTCGGCTCGTGATGATCGCACACAGCCCGGTGATGCGGTCTCATGTACATTCATAGAGCGTTTTCACTCGAGGCGCTCAGTGGCGTAGCTTACAAAAACGGTGACGCAGAATGGAGTGGTGTCGTTGACAGGGCATGCTACATGGATTGAGGAATGAGTGACCGCGACAGAGGGGTAGTTAGTGGATCACGGAAGGTTAGCGGAGGGACAGGAGGATGTAGTGGAGGGGCGAGAGGAGGGAAGAGAATGGATGATAGAGAAGAGGTGAGGCTTTAAGAGCGGAACGGAAGGAGGTTAGGCATGACACAGCCAATGCTAAATAAACTGTCTCGGCCTACTCTTCTAAGCTAGCCTGATGTGCCGCACCTCGCCAATGCGTTCTACCCCCGGCCAGACCCTGCAGCTGCTGAACAGGAGACACGCGGTGACCTCCAACATCTACACTGACAGTGTCCCACCATAGACTCACATTAACTTCTTCTTTCGTATGGCTGATGTAAGATGCAGAGCATCAACTACATTTTCACATTGAGGTGGTCAAGCACAGATAATCGCATCAGGAGCAGTGGAGCGTATTGCTGTAATGTCTTCTAGACTCGCATACAGACCCACACACTCACACGGAGACCCACCGACCCACACGGAGACCCACAGACTCACAGAGAGACCCACAGACTTGCCCGGAGACCCACAGACTCGCACGGAGACCCACAGACTCGTACGGAGACCCACAGACTCGCACGGAGACCCACAAACTCGCATGGAGACTCACAGACTTGCATGAAGACCCACAGGTTCCCACGGAGACCGAGACTCGCACGGAGACCCACAGACTCACACTGAGACCCACAGACTCGCACGGAGACCCACAGACTCGCACGGAGACCCACAGACTCACAGAGAGACCCACAGACTCACACGGAGACCCACAGACTCACAGAGAGACCCACAGACTTGCACGGAGACCCATAGACTCGCACGGAGACCCGCAGACTCGCCAAGATAGCCACAAACTCACAGAGACCCTCAAGATCTGCTTCACAGTCTGCCACCATCTGCCGTTAAGTCTTCTATTCCCTTTCGTTGCTGGACTCGTGGAGATCGCTCCAATGGCCATCAAGACAATTGGCCATCCTCCCCTCTCCCCCCACCCACTTATGTACTTGCGCACGTCCACCCAGATTCTCTCGTGATGATATTCGACGTATGAATAGAACAAAAAACGTGCGAATGCCGGGAGACGGAGCGTCGGGTCGTGACGATGGTCCCTGTCGGCGTGCGTAGAGATGCTGCCGGACGAGAGCTCCGAGTGGCTGCACGAGCTCCTGCAGGAGGTGCAGCTGGAGCAATTCTTTCTGCGCGTCCGCGACCAGCTCAACGTGACGCGCCCCGAGCACTTTGACTACGTCAAGAGCGATGACCTGGAGAAGATCGGCATGGGCAAGCCGGGTGAGCCGCGGCGCGTCGTCGCCACCCCCCGCGCTTGGGGAAAAAGAAAGTGAACGCGTTTGTGAATATTCGGAGGGGGTAAAGGAAGCGGCGCTGCAATCAGTGCCAGATGGAGCTAGTGCGGTGCCTGTAGCATATGTTATAAAGGGGCCCTCAATTAAAAAAAACACATAAATATTAAAACACATTTTTTACTTGCACAGTAAGGTAATTATATTTTTTCATTTGCTATACAGCCAGATAATACGACAAATCGCGAACCTTAAACACCCAGTCGTTATTAAAAGTTGAAGGTGGTATAGTACTATAGTAATAGAGCAAGTGCAGATTCACTGAACCGAAATTGATAGCTTGAAAGAGTATAGTGCGGGGCCCTTGAAAGTGCTGGGCCCGTAGCATATGTAGCTACTTTAGCTACTTGGATAATCCGGCACTGTCTGAAATTGGCTCACTCACGCCGCTGCCGGCGGAAGGGGCCCTCCGCTCGAGGGAACTTGAGAGCGCCCCGCTAGCTAGAGGGTACTTTTGGCCTACTCTTCCACGGCGGGCTGGACGTCACCGGAAAAAAAAATCGGGCGCCAACCCTCCCCCCCCCCCCCTTTCTCACGCCACGCGGCCTGCCAGTTGACCAACCGTGGCGGAGTTTCTGTCGACCCTACCTACGGTTTGTCCGCAGCGAACCGATAGTGCCGCAAGTGGGTTTTAGCGGTGATGGTGGTGGCAGCGTGATGGTGGTGGTGATGGTGGCGGTGGCGGCGTGATGGTGGTGGTGATGGTGGCGGTGGTGGCGTGATGGTGGTGGTGATGGTGGTGGTGGCGGCGTGATGGTGGTGGTGGTAGCGGCGTGGTGGTGATGGTGATGGTGGAGGATGGTGGTGATGGTGGTGGCGGCGTGATGGTGGTGGGGATGGTGGTGGTGATGGTGGTGGTGATGGTGGTGGTGATGGTGGTGGTGATGGTGGTGGTGATGGTGGTGATGGTGGCGTGATGGTGGTGGCGTGATGGTGGTGGTGATGGTGGTGGTGGCGGCGTGCGCTGTGCCTGCAGGCCAGAGGCGTCTCTGGGAAGCTGTCAAGAGGAGGAGGACCTTGTACAAGCGCAAGACCTGGATGCCCAAGGTCTCCTCTCTTTTCAATGCTTCCCATGCCGAGGTTGAATGCCTGGACGAGTTGGCTGCCTCCGTCCATTCACCTGCTCGTCTGTGTGTCCGTTTGTCTGTCTGTCACGTGGGGGTCTGGGCAACTCTCGCAAGAAGATGGCCCGATATGAACGCAGCTGCGCCATCGGGTGTCTTTGCCGTTAGCGGCTCGTCCTGTAGGCGGCCGCGCAAATTGACGAAAGGGTCGCCCGTAGCTCGGGAAGATAAAATGCGGCGATGGACAGTGGCAGAGCCGTCTCGGTGATGACAACGACGTCAAACGCCGACCGCGCGTGCGCGCGGCCCGGCAGCATTGTTACACGTTATGCAAACTCGCTATCGGCTGGGAAGATAACGCTGTTCATCGCCATGATCGTCGGCCATGGTGCAGGTGACCTGATGGCGGCTGTGGTAGTGATGCAGGTAACCTCCAGGTGGTGGCGATAACTCAAACAATCGCCGCCACCAGCAGCAGGCCACCTGCACCACCAACAACAACAGCCGCCATTCGCCACTAAGTGACGGTGACGTCACCACAGCGCTTGTGCCAGGCTACATGCATTTGGACGCCACGTGAAGTGCACCACCTGCAGTACACCTCCACCTGGTGAACTGCAGGTGGTGCAGGTGGTGTTGGTGGTGCAGGTGACATGGTGGTGCCTACTGGTGGTGGTGTGGGGAGCGGTGGTGTAGTGGTTAGCGGGCTGCGCTACGGCGATCCGAGTTCGATTCCCGCTCACTTGCCAACACGAGTGACTGATTATCTAAACCGGTTCCTGGGCCTCTCCTAGGTCGACTCAGCCTAAAATGAGTGCTTGGTGTGGTGTGTAAACATTGCCACTAGGGAGACAAAGGCGGTCGGGCGTGGTGCTGGTCACCCACCCCCTCATGTACCGTTCCGGCCTTCATAGGTGCTCGCTAACAGCACTTGCCCCTACAGTTTGTTATTTGCTGGTAGTAGTGCTGGTGGCATAGTTGTCAACTCCTTATCAGTGCCCTACCTTATTACAGACCAATTCAGGCCTCATTGGTCACCCCATGCCCGTTATACATCTCAACGTTCAACCTACAGAGTCCCATCACAAGGGAGAAACACAAACAAATAGACAATTTTTTTCACCTGCATTGAAACGGCTGTCCGCCGTATGGACCTGAAAACTCAATCTCCCTGTTCCAGAATACGGGGTAAACCGTGTGCGTTGACGGCTTAGTTTTGGTTGTACTTGTGGCGGTGCTGGCCGTGGCGGTGAAGCTGGCGGTGGCGATTGAGACCGCGTCGCCGACACCCGGAGCGATTTGCCCGCCCACAGGTGTTCAGTCGGCAAGCAGAGCGAGTGCCCGTCGCACCCGTCGCTCACCTTCCGCAAGGTGTCGCCCACGCCGGGGGGGCAGGACCCCCCTCCGCAGAGCCTCACGTGCCTCATCAATGAGAAGGAGCTGCGCCTGCTGGAGAAGCTGGGCGACGGCTCCTTTGGAGTCGTGCGGCGCGGGGAGTGGTGCTCGCCCTCGGGGCAGCTGGTGAGGACTGTCACGGTGGCGTCCATTGTGCCCGTCGTGCCATCGTCCCCATCGCCCCCATCGTCCCCATCGCTCCCGTCACGCCTATCGTGACCAGCGCGCCCATCGCCCCCATCGCGCCATCTCGCCAGTTGTGTCCCATGAAGCGCCCGCCGGCTCCCCCCGACGCTACCGGTCTGCACGGCGGTTGTGGTTGTTCTAATAATAACAATAGGAACATTGTTTATCCAGGAGAACCACACTGAGTCATAGGAGGCTCCTGCCGCTGCTACATTTGGTGTTTATTTGCGAGACGTTTTCAGCCGATTAATGACGACGAGTCGTCGTGTTTATTATTCACGTGGGAGGAGGACAATGGAGCGCCCGGAGAAAACCCCACGCCTCGCGCAAGGGGGCAACGCTCGATCCCCGTACAGACGCAAACAGGTGGCGATTAGTTCCCTTGCTTGTGCTGCCTTCTCCTCGCCAGCCAGCAGTACGGCGCCTCCTCGACGCCCACGGGTATAAAGGAGTCTCACAACGACATCCGTGCGGTGATCCCCACCAACCCTCGCTCCACAGCGCCGGGTCACGGGCAGCAGTCACGTGCAGCGCGGCCGCCGCCGTTGCGGTGCTCGTAGTCGGTGCTGAGGTCGTCGTCGTTGTGCGCAGGTTCCCGTGGCGGTGAAGTGCCTGAAGACCGACATGCTGAGCGCCCCCGAGGCGCTGGAGGACTTTGTCAAGGAGGTGAACACCATGCACATGCTGGACCACCCCAACCTGATCCGCCTCTACGGGGTCATCCTCACCTACCCCATGAAGATGGCAAGTGCTGCATCACCTCCCAACCCCTTTGAAACCTCCCCCGCATCAACTCCCAACCGTCTCCCCGCAATGTCTCTCTCTCTCTCTGTCCCTCCGTCATCTCTGCCCTCCCTGTTGGTGGTGGACCAGCATCATGGTGGTGGTGGTGGTGGTAATGGTGGCGGTGATGGTGGTGGCGGTGGAATATTGTGGTGGTGGTGGCGATGGAGGAATGTGGTACTGGAGCAGTAGTGGTGATGGTGGAACACTTGTAGTAGTGGGCCAGCGTGGTGGTGGTGGTGGTTGTGGTGACGGTATTGATGGTAGTGGTGGACTACCGTGATGGAGCAGTATGCTGGTGGTGCAGGAGCAGTAGTGGTGATGGGGGACCACCGTGGTGACTGTAGTCGTCGTGGTGGCTGTGGTGGACAGGCGTGTGGTGGCTGTGGTGACGGGCGGTGGTTGTGGTGATGGTGGTGTTTGAGCGCCGCGTCACGCCGCCGTTCGTCTCTGCCGCCGCACGCAGGTCACGGAGCTGGCGCCCCTCGGCTCGCTGCTGGACCGGCTGCGGCGGAACCAGGGCCGCTTCCTGCTGTCGACGCTGTGCCGCTACGCCGTGCAGGTGGCCACGGGGATGAGCTACCTGGAGACGCGGCGCTACATCCACCGCGACCTCGCGGCGCGCAACATCCTCCTGGCCGCCAGCGACCTCGTCAAGATCGGCGACTTCGGCCTCATGAGGGCGCTGCCGCAGAACGACGACCACTACGTCATGTCCGAGCACCGCAAGGTGCCCTTCGCCTGGTGGGTGGCGCCCCACCCCTCCTCCCGCACCCCCCCCCCACCGCATCCCCCCCCAACAACTCACGCCAACGTTCGCCGACGTCCGCTAGATTGGCCCCCTCCCCCCGGGGTCGGATCCGATGCGTTTCGGGAAAAAAAAGGGGGCGCGCAAAGCGAAATCGCGTAGCGGTCACCCAACCCACAATGCACCGCACGAGGAGACAGCTGCCCGCCGAATGGCGCGCACAGTCCACGGTACGCACACGATGCTGTCCCACATCCCACCGCATAGCCGCGTGTAGAGTGAATTAGAACCACGTGACTGCAACGAATTGTGGGTAGAAGTAGGTTAGCCGCTTATATACAGTAAACACGAAATCGCAGAAACCGAACCCGCAAAAAGCGAGGAAAACCTGTCTTGATTATTCTTCTTCAGGAAAAATTATATTTTACCGGACATTCAAATGCACAGCCCACTCCAAGGGACACGACCGGAGATTGACACAAACCACCACAAGATGTGAACTGCAACATCGGCGTCATCGTCGTCGTCGTTTGTGAACGCCGCACGACGACGTTTATAACCGTGAGCCGCTCCTCACTCGCCGAGGGCGCCGGCGACTCGCCAGCCGCGTGGCCACAGGTGTCGGGCGAGCGAACCGAGCGCCTTGAATGAACGACGGAACCGGACGACGCATACCCTCGTCTTCACCGCTCTTCTGAGGATGCGGACAATGAATAAAGCGGCAGAATTCGCGCTCGTCTAGCGTCGTCCGTGCTCGTGTTTTGTCTGTGCCACCCTTCCCCGCGCCCTCCCCTTCAACCCCCACATGGCCTCGGATCACCGCGAGTTCACTTTGCTCGCAGGCTGCCGCGGGGGCGAGCACACAAGCCCTGTCGTCCATCCAGCAGCGGGTAGAGCCTGCGTTGGCCGCAGCTCTCCGACGCGTTCCCGGGTCGTACCGCGCGACGTTCGGCACGATGTCCGACGTTTCGCTCCGCGTGCCGGAAGCCTTTTCTGGAACTGAACCGAGCCGCTGACCTTCTCGCGTGATTGTACAGCGTCGTAGCCTCTTGCCTCTGATTGGATAATCGATGGAGAAAGTGAACGCTTTCAATTCAGCCACCTGAAGACGCTGGCCGCCTTCAGGCAGCGCAGCGCGGTGGCCTGTGCACCCCACCCCTCGCTGCGCGTGCCACCCCCCCCCTCCTCACCGCGTCTACCACCCCGGCCCCTAGGTGCGCCCCCGAGAGCCTCAAGACTCGCACGTTCTCGCACGCGAGCGACACGTGGATGTTCGGCATCACGCTCTGGGAAATGTTCACCTACGGCCAGGAGCCTTGGGTGGGCCTTAACGGCAGCCAGGTACCGCTACGGGCAGACACCCCGCGCTCGCTCTCTCTCTCTCGCTCTCTCTCTCTCTCGCTCTCTCTCTCTCGCTCTCTCTCTCGCCCTCCCTGTCGCTCTCTCTTGCTCATGCCAGAGTCCCTGATGCGATACTCGAGTCCCGGCAGCTATAATTTAATTGTCATGCCCATAATATGATCGTATCGCATCGCTGATCGCGACGCTATCGACGTTCACGCTGCGGCGATCGAACGGTGCCGCGACAGATCCTGCACAAGATCGACAAGGAGGGGGAGCGGCTGCCCAAGCCAGAGGACTGCCCGCAGGACATCTACAATGTGCTGCTGCAGTGCTGGGCCCATAGGCCCGGCGACCGTCCCACATTCATGGCCCTCAAGGACTTCCTCAAGGAGGCACGGCGGCTCACCCTCAGCGCACACGCCTCACCCTCGCCGGGTAAAAGACGGGTAGTGATCATAACGACGTCAATAAATAGTGAAGATAACGTGGCTGCCCCTCGCCCGCCCCCCCGTGTCCTCCTCTCCCCGCCCCAGGCCCAGCCCACAGAGATGCGGGCACTGCAGGATTTCCACGAAGCGGAGAAGCTTTCCATCCAGGTGAACGACGTCATCACGGTGCTGGAGGGGAGGTGCGCCCAACGCCTGTTCCTCCGCGTCATCGTGACGGCGCGCGGCGCGCCGGCGGTCGCCACGGCTCGGCGTTGGATTATTTCGCGAGTCCGTCCGTCCGTCCGCCCGCCTACCCGTCACGCCCGTGAGGACGGGCGGGCGCGACAGGGGGTCGGGGTGGCGACACGGCGGCGGTAGCGAGCGCACCCTGCACCTCGCTCCAGAGGTTCACGGTTGGAGACCAGCGGGCGCCCCCCGGTTGATACTAACCGGGTGCGGTGACCAACGCCGGCTCATGGTCGCAAGGTCACGAGAGGTCAAATGTCGGTTGGGGGCGAAGTCCATCGTCCCTCCTGGGCTGACGGAATGAGCCAAATGAGTAGCACATCGTGGAGGGGTGGGGGGGTTGGAAACCAACAGTGCTACAGATAGACTTGCCCCCGTCATAGGAACGTGGAATTTCCGCAAACCGGGTTCAGGGCTGTAAAGGGGATTTGAGCACCGACCTCGCTGCTCAACACCCGAGCAGCGGGGGAAACCACTTTAGGGAACTTTGAACCCAAAACACTCGCCGCCCGCTTCAATGCGGACGTCACAGATCCCGTGACTTTATTCCACCAAGAGGAGGAGGCCGTTGTGAGCTGGCGTCACAAGTTTGACAATCGTAACAAGAATGCGACGTCGATGTCAACCCCTCATCAGTGCCCTACCTTATTGCAGACCAATTCAGACCTTATTGGTCATCCCATGCCCTGATAAATCTCAGCGTTCACCCTACAAAGGCCCATCACAAGGAAGAAACGCATACAAATATACATTTCCCTGTATAAGAATACGAGGTGAACCGTGTCGGTTGACAGGTATGATGATAATGGCTTTATATCGCGTCGTTCACAACACTGTGCAGGACGGAACAATGAATGAACAAAAAAAGAATATAGCATCTCGCAAGATGCCACGGTGGCGAGATGTTAACTACCTCGCCTGGTATACAGGAAGTCGTGGGTTCGATCCCGACCCTGACGCCTGCATATTTTGAGTTTGCGTGTCTCCCCGTGGTTACATGGATTTTATCTCAAGGTCCGATACATTTCCACGCGATAAGCCACTTTGTTGGGGCTACCGTTTGTGGCCAGGTCGCTTCTGTGGGCCTTACCTGGTCAAATTAAATATTGTTGAGCAGTTTAGTAGTTTAACGACGACACAGAGTGCGACCGAACCAAGGTCAACTCAATGAAAATGCCGAAGTAAGTGATCAGATTCATCTTTTGTAAGGGGACTCGAACAAGTGGAGGCGACTTAACTCGGCGTATATACTGAGCGGTGAGCGCGTTCCTACGCCGCCGCCGGAGCTGCGGACGCGTGGCGCCCACCCCACAGCCTCGCCGATTGAGCGGCTCCCATAGCGGAGGAATGAAGTAACTACGGACGGGGCGCGGGCTGCAACGAGGGGGAGATCGAATTACCCTCAAACTACCCGGTCGGGTAAAACCGGCAGAGCAGCATCGCACTCTTGTAGACTGATGCCTGCCTGTGAAACACTCAACTAGTGCCTTCCTTCCTCCCTGCTGCGATGGCGTTTGTGCCGGAGGAACGGACGCGAGTAGCAGGCGCTCTCGCCCGTTTGGCGTTGAGAGCAGCGCTCGCCCTACACACCACAGCGCCTTCCTCCGGTCACCTCTCGGCCCTCGGCCCCCAATCCGATCGTCTGCCGCAGTCCGGCCAGGGGGATTCCCTGCCGTGGGGGGATGTTAACTCCCTCGCCTGGTATGCAGGAAGTCGTGGTTTCGATCCCGACCTTGACGCCTGCTGCTGTATATTTGGCGTTTGCGTGCCTCTCTCCCCGTGGTCGCGTGGAATTTTCTCCGGGTCCTCCGGTTTTTTCCTCCACATTTAGAATCGACGTCACGCCTTTAGAGCATTTGGCTGCTCTACATTTCCACGTGATAAGCTACTGCGTTGAGCTATCATTTGAGGCCAGGTCGCTTCTGAAAAAAATAGCTATATAGCTCAGTGGGCCTTACCTGGGAAAATGTACAGTTTAGTTTTATATTTTATAGATGCCCCCGTCGGCACAAGGTGTGCGCTGTGTGTACGCATCGCTGTGCGAATTTGTGCGATGGAGCGTGCGAGTGTGTACGCACGAATGAACGTGCCATGCCGCCCTCAATGGGTGCTCGCGAACAGTACCTGCCCCGAGCGCCGCTCGCCATCCTCGCACGGAGACCTTTGACCGCGCGCGTCCGTGCGTGCGTTTGTGCTTTCAGAGCTGAGAATTATTGGTGGCGTGGACAGAACAAGCGGACGCTGCAGGTGAGTCGGGGAAGAGCCCGAACCGGTGGCGCGTTTGGCATGGGCCCTGGCGCAAGGAATGAAATGCTCACCCCCCCCCACCATTCCCCGCCCCCCTCAAATTCAACCCCCTTACCAATCCCCTGCCCCCCTCAAATTCCACCTCCCCCACCAATTCCCCGCCCCCCTAAAATTCAACCCCCCCCCACCAATCCCTCGCCCCCCTAAAATTCCACCCCCCCCACCAATCCCCCGCCCCCGCAAATTCCACCCCTCCCCACCAATGCTCCTCCCCCCTCAAATTCCACCCCCCCCCCCACCAATCCCCCACCCCCCTCAAATTCCACCCCCCCCCACCCGATCTTCGGTTCACCCCAAATCTCCTGTGACGCTCTGGCCGCGACGTTCCGGCCGCGACGCTGAGATCCTGGTGACGGGCTCCGCAGGTGGGGCCCTTCCCGCGGAACGTGGTGACGGCCGTGGCCGGGCTCTCGGCCCACGACATCAGCCTCCCGCTCAAGAACAGCTTCATCCACACGGGGCACGGCGCCGTGCGGCCCGAGAACAGCTGGGGCCACCCCGACCGCATCGACGAGTACGCTCGCTCACCCTCGCTCACCCTCGCTCACCCTCTCACCCTCGCACCCTCGCTCACCTTCTCACCCTCAACCACCCTGAACCACCCTCAACCACCCTCACTCTTGCTCACCCTATCACCCTCAATCACCCTCAATCACCCTCACTACACAGACGAGTGCGTGAGATCAACACTGACCCTCACTCACTGCACTGACCCCCAGTCACCACACCAACAAGCGTGTGACCCTTTGTGTGTGTGGGAGCGTGTGTGTATGCGTGCGTGTGTTTTCTACCTTAAATGAGTACCTGGCGCGGTGTGTAGTAAACATCGCCACTGAGTGTGGTGCTGGCCACCCACCCCCACGTGCGCCGTGCCGGCCTTCATCGGTGCCGCTCGCCTACAGCACTTGCCCCAACAGCCTGCTCAGACTATACGGGGGGGATCTCTGTGTGTATGTGCGCGTAGCCTGTACCTGGGCAACCCCATGGAGCCACCGGACGTGCTGCAGGGAGCCACGCTGCCCACCTCCCTGCCCGGCCGTGTCCGGAGTGAGTGCTGGGGGAGCCCCACACGCGGTCCCGCGATCTCCGCGATGCACAGCGCTGCCCGGTGACGTGGGCCCCACTCCGCACGGCAGGGCGCGTCCGCCGGGCGACGCTCCCCAATCGCTCATGGGCCGCTCGCTCGCAGCTCACGAGCGGCTCGTTTACTGACGGCTCTCCGCATGCGGCGTGCGTGTCTGTGCGTGCGTGTCTGTGCGTGCGTGTCTGTGCGTGCGTGTCTGTGCGTGCGTGCGTGTCTGTGCGTGCGTGCGTGTCTGTGCGTGCATGTCTGTGCGTGTCTGTGCATGCGTGCTCGCTGGAGTGTGCACGGGGAGCGGCTTTCGTGGTGGTTAGCGCTACGCTGCGCTAAGAACCCGGCGACCCGAGTTTGATTCCCGCTCACGGCTAACACCGGTGACAATTATCAGAATCGGTCCTGGGCCTCCCCTGGGTCGGCTCGGCCTCAAATGAGTACCTGGTGCGGTGTGTAAACAACATCGCTAGCAGCCGGGCGTGTTGCTGACCACCCATCCCCTTCGTGTGCCGTGTCGGCCGTTATAGGTCCTACTCGCTAACAGCACTTGCCCCAACAGCCTGTTTAGGCTATACCGGGGGACTTTGTCTTTGTCAGTGGGGTGTGCTAACCAATGGCTCACCGACCGCTCACCAGCAGCTCACCAATGGCTCACTCAGGCTCACTCACAGCTCAGTCACTAAGAGTTAATTTCCTGGCAGCTCACTCACTACCAGCTAACTAACGCCTCGCTTGCCGTGTGTGTGTGTGTGTCACACTCTTTCCGTGTGTGTGTCACACTCTCGCCGTGTGTGTGTGTCGCACGCTCGCCGTGTGTGTGTGTGTTGCACGCTTGCTGTGTGTGTCGCTCGCTTGCCGTGTGTGTCGCTCGCTTGCCGTGCGTGTGTCACACACTCGCCGTGTGTGTGTGTGTGTGTCGCACACTCGCCATGTGTGTGTGTGTCGCACACTCGCCGTGTGTGTGTGTGTGTCGCACACTCGCCGTGTGTGTGTGTGTGTGTCGCACGCTCGCCGTGTGTGTGTGTGTGTCGCACGCTCGCCGTGTGTGTATGTGTCGCACTCTTGCCGTGTGTGTGTGTGTCGCACACTTGCCGTGTGTGTGTGTGTCGCACACTTGCCGTGTGTGGGGGTCGCACTCTTGCCGTGTGTGTGTGTATTGCACACTCACCGTGTGTGTGTCGCACGCTCGCCGTGTGTGTGTGTGTCGCACGCTCGCCGTGTGTGTATGTGTCGCACTCTTGCCGTGTGTGTGTGTGTTGCACGCTTGCTGTGTGTGTGTGTGTCGCACGCTCGCCGTGTGTGTGTGTCGCGCGCTCTCTAACCGCTCACTAACGGCATTGCGTTCCATCACTGTGTTCCATTCCCCCCCTGTCGTTGCTCAACCTCTGTGCCTCCCCTTTTCTCTCTCTGTCTCCTTGCTGCTTTATGCTGCTGGGGTAGAGGAGCCCCCACCTCGTCCCCCACAGCCGGCCATCATGGGCAGCAGTAAGCACGGCGACGCGATAGCGACCGCCACCGCTGTTACGACCGCCACCGCCACTACCGCTACCACCATCACCACCGCCACTATTGCCACCACCACCACCGCCACCACCACTACTACTGCCACCACCGCCACCACCGCTACCACCGCCGGCACCACCGCTACTACTGCCACCACCACCGCTACCACCACCGCCACCACCACTACTACTGCCACCACCGCCACCACCGCTAACCAGCTGGATCGCAGTTCAAGGAGCTCACAGACGCTTGAAAGTGCTGAAAGCAGTGCCTATTATCGGCAAGCTCCTCTGGCAGTCGATGCTGTGTTGGCTGGGTCACGTAGCCCGCATGCCCAGCCACGGCTTTCCCAAGCAGCTTCTGTTTGGCCGCATAGAGGGGGCTAAACGGGCGCGGCTGATACCAGCGGTGTCAAGATCGGCCTCTATGGAGGAGGCTCTTGAAGGACGCTACTGGGCAGTTGGAGGCAGTCACCCTCCAGCAACAACGGAGGGTGGCACCTAGGCTGCCACAAGAGCCGTGAGGGCATCACCTCCACTTTGTGGTGAATAGTGACCATTGTGGGGGCATCTGCTGATATCTGTATACTTGTGTGCGAGTGTCTTCACGCATCTTGTGTGTTAATACGTCATAGTGCCTGCGTACTTGCGCGTGACCGAGCTGCATGCCTTCGTGTTTGTGTCTGCGCGTCCGTGCGTTCAGATCCACTGTACGACCCCGTGGCCGCGGAGGAAATCGGGGAGATGGTCCCCTCGGCCGCTCGCGATTCCAGCGGCGCTGGCGGCGGCGCTGGCGGCGGCGGCGGGGGCTCCGTGCCGCCAGTGACAGGCGGAGGCGGCGGCGGGGAGTCCGGCGGAGCGCGCAAGCTCAACCTCAGGAGGCTGGCGCTCCCCCGGCCGCACCGCGGCGCGGCGCGCCCCTCGGCTCGCGTGGCCGCGGTCCCCTCGGAGCGGTCGCGCGACCGCGCGATGAGCGCCTTCTGCGAGGAGGTGTCGCTCATCGACCTGAGCGACGAGGGGCCGGCGCCGCCGCGCCCGCGCTCGGCGCTCCCCTCGCTGTCCGCGGGTTCGGGCTGCCTGCTGGGCAATTCCCCCCCCGCGAGCCCCACGCGCTCCCTGCCTCGCCCCCTGCACCCCATCTCCCTCTCGGGCTGGGAGCTCCGCTCGCCCGACGGCGCCCCTCCCTACGACTGCGTCCCCCGCGAGGACGAGCGGGACTCCTGCCGCGGCGACGCGGGGTTCGCTCCCGACGCCCCCGCCGCGGGCTCCGGGCGAGGCTCCCCGTGGCCCCGCGACGGCCCGGCCTCGCCCGCGGCCCGCGGCGAGGCCAACCCGGCCTTCGAGGCCGAGGCGCCGGCGTGGCGCCCGCGCGACGACCGGGAGACGGGCTCCGGGGAGCGGGGGGGCGGGCCCGACCCGCGGCAGGCGGTGGAGCTCTTCGCCGAGCTGCAGAGGGAGTGCTTGGCCAGCCTGGAGCTGCCCGCCAACCCGCGCCTGCTGCCGCCCTCCGTCTTCGCAGCCCGATCCTCGCTCTCCTCCACCCCGCGGGTCCCGCCCAGGGCACCGCTGGAGTCGGACGCGACGGCGCCCTGCGGGGGCGGCTGGGGCGGCCGCGCCTCCGCGGCGCCGCGCCTCCCGCCGCGAGAGTCCGCGTCGTCGCTCCCCGCGTCGTCGCTCCCCGCGTCGCGCACCCCGAGCCCCTGCGGATTCCCGGCGGACCGGCGCGGCAGCGTGAGCTCCGTGTCGTACCCTCGGCCTACCGTCGGCGCGGGAGGAGTCGGGGGCGGCGGCGGCCTCGGCCTCTTCCTGCCGTTGTCGCAGTCGCACTCGGAGCTGAGCTGCGCACGAGAGAGAACGACCCCCGACCTCTTCCCTGAGTCGCTCGGCGCTCCCGGAGCTCGAGGGCCCTGCATCCTGCCCATCATGCGCGACGGCAAGCAGGTGAGCGCCGGCTGAGCGTAGCCCTCGCGAGTCCCCGCGGCACGGCGCTCCGTGCGGTTCGCCGGCCACGCGCGCACGAGGGACGTTTCTTTACGACGGGCCGAGAGCGGTTCGACTCGCGAACGCGCGGTCCCGACGCCCCGAGCAGGACGACGCGGCGGACGTGAACGACCGCCGGCTCGCGTATCGCGTCGTAGCCCCTCGTCAGGCCCGATGTCGTTTACCGTCTCCGGCGTTGACGCCGCAGGTGAGCTCCACGCACTACTACCTGCTCCCCGAGCAGCCCGGAGGCGTGCCAGGAGGAGGAGGAGCGGGCGCCGTGGGCGCCGTCGGGGTGGCGGGCGAAGCGGGGGGCGCGTCGCACTTCCCGGGGGCTGGCGGAGGGCACCGCCACGGCGACGCCAGGAGGCCCGTCACGGCCGCCGTGCGGCCGCTCGGCATGGAGGAGCGGGGAGGCAGCGGCGGCGGCGGCGGCGGCAGTGGCGGCGGCGTGGTCGTCGCGACCCCGACGGTCGCCCCTCCTCCCGACGCGCGAGCCCTGAGGCTGGCGCTGCCGTTGGCGCGGGCGGGACAGCGGGGCCAGCGGAGCGGCGGAGTGGGGGGCGGCGTCGGCACCGCGGCGGATCCGCAGACGCCCCAGGACAAGATCGGCCAGGTACACGGCGGCCGGCCACCTTCCGGCTACGGCCCTCCGTAGCCGTTTGCGACGCGAGACGCGCCGACGCGGTCGCTCGCCTCCGCTGCCCCGGCAAACCCCAAGAGCGGGCTGAGCATCGCGCCTCGGAACATTCGATGGGGAAGCCCCAGCGGCAGCTGTCCCCTGTGTGGCACAAGGCGGCTCGGCACCGCGAGCAGGAATGTGTCGGCCGGTAGGGGGGGCCGATGTTGCAACGTAGCTTTCACCCATTCAAGTGATTTGCGATGAAATGTTGGCAAAGTTTGGACCGTGACGCCAGCGCGCGTGCCCTCCTCATCTTCAGATACCATCACCTATTTACGGTTAATGCATCCGCAGTTTGAATCAGGGCGGCCGGCCACTGGGGCTTCAAGCACAAGCCTCTGCGACTCACCGCTCGTTCGTGCCGTGACGGCACCCCGCGGGCGGGATGGGTGCCTGGGCCCGAGGAATTTGTGCGTAGGCGTGCGTTGGAGCAGGCGTGCACGTGTGCGTGCGTGCGGAATGGTGCTGCGGTGGTTAGCGTGTCGCGCTACGAAGCCGGAGACCCAAGTTCGATTCCCGGCCACGGCTAATATAGGTGGCGAGTGATTCTGGACCGGTTCTCGGTCAACTCGGTTTTAAATGAGTACCTAGTGCGGCTTGTGAACATCGCAATTGGGCATGGTGTCGGCCACAGCGGTATGTTAAAGGGTACACGGGGGATGTTTGTGTCCGTGCGTGCAGGTGCAGCTGCTGGTCCATGGAGTCACGACGGATGAGTGCCAGGCGGCGCTGCAGGCGCACCTGTGGGACGTGCCCCGTGCAGCGCACTACCTCAAGGTACGCGCGCACTGCCTGCTGTTAGTGAGCCACTGTGAAGGCCGGCACGGCGCACGAGGGGCTGGCCGGCCAGCACCACCCCCGCGTTGTCTCTGTCTCCCCAGCGGCAATGTTCAAACACCGCACTGTGCACTCATTTGAGGCTGAGTCGACGTTGGGGAGGCCTAAGACTGGTTCAGATAATCGTCACCGGCGTTGGCAGGAATTGAACTCGCTTTGCTGGGTTTATCGCGCAGCGTGCTGACCACTGCGCCACCGCTGCCCACCACCTCAACGCGCACACACACAATGCGTGCGATGCGTGACGTGCGAGCGAGCGTTCGGACGGTGCGATGGGCAGGGCCGCGTGTTCGCGTCGTGCGACGATGGGGGCGGCAGGGTCGTGGCAGCAGCGTAGTGGTGACACCTGCGGCTCGCAGCAAGAAGGCCCTGAGTTAGATTCCCCTCTCGGGCTCCTTTCCGCTCGGAGTTTGTGATGTTCTCTCCCCTGTTGTGCGGGGTACGAGGGAGAGTGTCTGAGCGTGGGTGTGAGCGAGTGAGTGGCTGGGTCATGTAGTCCGCATGCCCAGCCACCGCATGCCCAGCCACCGCATGCCCAAACAGATTTTGTTCAGCCAGATAGAGGGAGCTAAACGGGTGCGGCACGGGCTAGAGAAGAGATTAACTTTTGCGATATGGGAGGATGTGGAGCTGAGTGGACTTGCCGATGACTGGCACCAGCGGTGTCAAGATCGGCCTCTATGGAGGAGACTTGTGAAGGACGCTGCTGGGCAGTTGGAGGCAGTCGCCCTCCAGCAACAATGTGGAGGGCAGGGGAGCGACGCTCACAACAACGAGCGGAGCGCCGGTAAGCTAAAAAACAGACAGTTGGCACAGTAGGGGGCACAGGTGGTGCATCTGCCGGTCATCTCAGTCAGTCAACAAATGGTACCCGGGTCTGTTCCTTGACCTCCTGTTAGTGAGCGTTCGACACTTCACGTGGACTTAAAGTGCACCTGGCCTGGCACAGGCGCCGCTTAGTGGCGAATGGCGATTATTGTTGTTGGAGTTTGTCTGTTCTCCCGTTTTTCTGCATCGATTTCCTTCGGGTTCTCCAGTTTCCTCCCATTGTAAACAAAAAAACTCCATACAATGTAACTGGTATTGGCTGTCACGTTCTCAGTGCTAAAAACAAATACCTGCAAATGAATTTCACAGCAGCGGCAACATCGCCCCCTACTGCGAAAACGTGGCAGGACCCTCAATAACCGTCTTAAGATTCAGTGATAGTTTTGCTGGGTAAACCAACGTAATAATAATAATAAATGATGATGATGATGTTGGTGGTACCACGTGCCAGGTGGAGCAGCTCTTCTGCCTGGGGTTGAAGAGCCGGGCCGAGTGCCAGCGAATCCTTGAGAAGTTCGACTGGAACCTGGAGCTGGCGAGCAGCTTCCTGCTCGGGCACTACAGCTCCCTGCGCTACCGGTACCCTGGAGCCCCCACCCCCACCAATACACCCCCTCTGCCCCCCCACTGCACCCCCTCACTCCGCCCACCGTGAGCCTCCTCCCCAGTAGCAGGGCCTCGTCGAATGCGAGAAGCCCGTGGCTGGTGTGCTTGCATCAACGAATTCATCATCGATTCGAACCGATGATTCTCGAGGTGCTACGGGGGGGGGGGGGGGGGGCGGGCGGGCGTTGTCAAATCGCGTGCATGCGTGCGTGCGATGATCGTTTTCGATCCGCGCGGAATCTCACCGCCGCTGGGGTTTTGCTCAGGATTAACGGAGGTGAACCGCGCAGTTGAGACGGGGGACAAAAAAAACCAAGCGACGATCCAAAAGCACCGCAGAGAAGTCGGGCGGGGGAGGGGTTGGAGGGGAAACCACTCGCACGCACGGATTTAATATCGGATTTTCAATCTGATCGTCCCGCAGCTCCAAGCCGCCACCAGGAGGCGGTCTCCCATCGAAGTGACTAAACCCGGCTCAAGCCTGCTTGGCTTCTCAGATTCGATACAGTCGGGCCCACGGGGGGCCGTCGGGCCCGTCGGGGGTAACCGGGCCCACAGGGGGCTCGCTGGAGACGGTCGGGCCCGTCAGGGGTAACCGGGCCCACGGGGGGCCATCGGGCTCGCTGGAGACAGTCGGGCCCACAGGGGGCCGTCGGGCTCGCTGGAGACGGTCGGGTCCGCCGGGGGCGACCTTGCCGTTAGCCGGGTTTGCCCGTGACGCCGCGTGCGGTGCGTGTTGTGCTCCGCAGGCGCTGACGACTCCGCCGGCGGTCCGAGCGGGGCCCAGGTGGCCGGGGTGAAGGGGGACACCGCCCCGCTGGGAGTGAAGGGGGCGGGCGTCCTGCACGGGGTTGGGTCCCCCTGACGCGAGGACGGGCGGCGGGATGAAAAGTGCCGTCGTCACCGCGTGGCGCGGCGGCCGCCGCCGCTGCTGCTGCTCCTGCTGCTACTGATTATTCTGGGACCAGCACAGCTGGGCCCTGTCTTTAGGCCTCGCCTATTCCCACCACCCCGCGGGGCATCCCGTATATTTATTTACTGTTTGTTTAAATATCCATGCCAGTCGGTGGGGAGAAGAGGAAAAAAATATAATTTTAATATAGCAGAGTTAATATAGCAGAGTTGTGTTGATCTTGTTTTTGTTGTGGTTCCAACAATTGCAATCGTTACACAATGTGCAGAAATGGATTCCTGTGGAGTTGACTCGGGCCAACCCTGCGTCACCCACCAAGATCCCAGCACCACCGCTGCCGCCGTCATCAATGAAACCACGGTGGGGAACGTCCGGCACGCCGGGCGGGCACGTCAAGGGACCGCGTCTCACACGGGCCTCAGATTTAATTTCGCACGGTCCCTGCCCACACCCCCTTTGTGAAACGGGCCGCAAAGGATATTAACCCCCTGTCCCCCCCACCCCCCCCCTGCTCTGTCATCCCAGCAATACAAGTGGATACGCCACGGTTAGTCGATCAGCAGGTTATGTGCGGTGGCGTAAAGTGTGGGTACCTCCAAGATGTCTTGCCAGCATGCGAGAGCAGGCACTTGCAGCGGCTGACGTTTTTCCCCGCCGTTGAGTTTCAACATTTCACCAAAGGTCAATCCTCTCGCCTGTGCCCGCGGCAACGCGCGGGCAATCTGCCGCGCCGTGCTGTCGCGTCCGCCATCGTCGTCGTCTGTGCGGTCGCCTCCATCCCCTGCCCCGGTGGCGAGCGGCCGCCCGGGGAGACTGGGGTCTGGCGGGCCCCGGTTTAGATCACCAGCAAGACGACGCTCCCGACCCACGGGCGAGCGACTTGGAAACTGCTGAGCCCCTCCGCTGCCGAGCGCCGCGCGTGCCCCTTCTGGCTTTTGTGACGAGTCTCGCGGGGTGCGTGGCGCGTGGCAACTTGCAGCTCTGTGCGTTTGTAGACAACCGGTAGTTTGCTACGACGATGCGTCGATACGTCGCGCGACGTACGATCCACATGTCGTCGGTCAGTGGCGGGCTGTACTTGCAACTCGCCGGATCCATTCGATCTCCAGGCGGCGGCAGTTGAAAATAACAGTGCAGGTTTCTTGTCAAAAATAATCCCCGCCCCGCTCCACCTCTTGCGTCTGTCTGCCGCGCAGTACGAGTGGGTGCTTCACCGCAGGTCACGTGTGCAGGGGCAACAGTGTGAGTACTCCCAGCTATTCAAGGACGTCCGGCCAGTGTGGAAGAGTAGGCCAAATACCTCTCTGTAGAGGAGGCCCTTCTCTCACCAGCGATATCCGCAAGTAATTGCAGGGTTGCGCCTTTTATCTTTTTTTATTATTATCGCGGGACAAAATCGTATCGCCCGTTTGTTTTTATTTCCTGAAAAGGTATTCGCCAACAAGCACGATATCATCCGTTACAAATCAATTAACATCCTTGCATAAAGTTAGCGCTTTCCAAAAGGCATCCCGGTGCAAGTGGCAGCGTGGCGTTCACGATGCCATCGGTTGTTTCTAGCACAGCCGTTCATTTCATGATTCACTCATATCGAGTGCGCAACTGACAGCATGTGCTCTGCAAGCATTACACTTTGTAAAGTTGTGGTGATTGTTCGGCTTATTGACCAGCCCTAGGTTGAGCGAAATGCAGCTGAGGAACTTTGAAGTCAATTTCACATTCAGACTGGACGTGGGGCAAAATCACGACGGCGGTGCCACGCGGCCTTGCCCGATGACGCCGACATCGCGACGGTCGTCACGACCGAGATCGCCGTACCGTGGGAACTGACATTGCGGTAGAGGAGGCTGGGTGTGCCGGCTACTCCCCTGGTGTTGGCGTTAAACCCGGCAACTGCGGGAGACTTGATCGGTCACTGGATTCGCAAACTCGCGGTGTGACCGGCCACGTCGCGCAGAACGCGCCCCCCAATCCAACCCAACTCGGAAGCTCAGCGGGGTTGTTGGTCCCGGACGGCGCTCGGATGACGGCGTGACCGCCGGGCGCGCCTGGGTTTGTGTGCGCGGCTGTGGAGCTGCGCTGCCCGGTACCCATCGAGCATTGGGTCAACCTTGGGCTCAACGTTGACACGTGGTTGGTCTCATTGGCGCCAGCGTTGACACGTGGTTGGTCCCATTGGCGCCAGCGTTTGCTCGGCGTTCCACGCTTGCTGGGTACGTGGCAGTCGGCGCTAGGCGGTGCAGCAACGCCCTCGTTGTACCGCGCTTCTACACTCCCACGCCTACGGCCCTCTGCCTTCACCAAGCCGCGTTGGGTGGTGGCGTGCTAAACTAACTAGGAGCGGCTTTAACCGATGCACGTAGTGCTGCCTCCCGTGCGCCGTAATGACCTTGCGCGAGCGGTATTGGGTGCGTGAACGCGCGTGCAGGTGACCCGCTCGCCCCTCTCCCGTGTTGGAGGCGTCGAGGTCTGCATCTGGTGCGCGATGGCCCCCACAGCGGCCCCCACAGCGGCCCCACAGTGGCAGGGCGCAGGACCGTGGTTTTGTTGCAGACGTGCGCGCGTGCAGGGCAGTATTGTAGGCCGGCATGGAGGTGTCCATAATGTTTTGTTGGTGGACCGTCGTCGTCGTTGTTGTCGCCGTTCGGTGGTGGTGGTGTAAGAGGTGCAGAACGCCACGGCACCGCCCGAGGTGGTGGTGGTGGTGTAGTGGCGGTGTGAGAGGTGCGGAACGAGGCTTCTTGAGGCACAAGCGCGGCTGCTATCCTGTTACAGTCTCTGTCTAAAGAGGGCAAATTGAATCTGTTGGGGGGTGGGGGGGGGGCATCTGTCCAGTAGTGGGCGATGTAATGAATGTGTGTGCTGTGCAGGCGAGGTTTTTCTCAGTGTTAGTGGCCATGTGCTGCTTGTGTGTGTGTGTAATGTGTGTGCTGTGTCGTGTATGTTGTGTTTATGCCGTGTGTGCTGCGTGTGTGCTGCGTGTGTGACTTCTCGTGTCTATTCAGTCGAGAGCGGCGACTCGGTGGTTGGGGCACCGCGCTACCAAACCGGCGGTCCGAGTTCTATTCACGCACGGTGACAGATGTTTGAACCGGTCCTGGGCCTCTCCTAGGTCGACTCGGCCTTCAATGAGTACCACGTGTGTACACCTAAGCCAGGGGTGGGGAACGTCCGGCCCGCGGGCCGTATGAGGCCCGCAAAATCATTTGGTCTCTGGCCCTGCCAAGGCAACCGCAGGCGGGACTCGAAATTCAATAAATCTCGGAGCAAACCTGGAAAAGCAGTTGCGAGTAGCAACATCATCGATACCAGCTAACATCACACGCCTCGCCAAAGAGAAGCAGTTACAGCCATCGCATTAGGGGCGAGTTAATTAAATGTTTGACCAAATATAACGGGCTCATTTTTAAGTTGATAATTTTGTATGGCCTGCGAATTATGTCATGAATATCCAAATCGCCCTTGGGAGAAAAAAGGTTCCCCACCCCTGACCTAAGCATTGGGGGGACAACGGTGGCCGGGCGTGGTGTTGGCCACCCACCTCCTCGTGTGCCGTGCCGGCCTAAATTGGGTGCCCACTAACAACACTTGCCCCGACATCTTCCTTTTAAGGCTACACGGGGGATCTTTGTCTTTGTCCTCTTCGTGTGCAAGGTGTGTACGCCGGGTCATGCGTGTGGCACGTGTGTGTAGGCTGTGTTGTGTCTTGTATGCACCAAGTGTTGTGTGAGTGTTCTGTGTGCTCCTTGCTGTATGATCTGATTTCCCCGTCTGGGGAGTGTACTGCTCGGTGTGCTATGTAGTATCTGAGTGGGTTGTTGAATCTGTGTGTGCTGTCTTGCGTGTACTGTGATGTATGCCGGTCTGAATAGGTGCTCGCCGACAGCACTTGCCCCAATGACCTGTTAAGGCTATACGGGCCACCTTTGCCCTTTGCTGCTATCGACTGCCTGACTCCTGTTCCCGTGACCGCGGACTCTCGCTCGCGCGTGTACATGTGTACGTGTGTGCGTGTGTGTACATGTGTGCGTGTGTGTACATGTGTACGTGTGTGTGTGTGTACGTGCGTGTGTGTGCGCGCGTGCGTGTGCGCGCGCGGAAGGAAGGAAGCTTTTATGATGAAACGGTATTTATGAAATTTTATCTCGCTTGAAAAAGGTCATTTTTATTCTTATTGTTGTTGTTTTATGACACGCGCGAGTGTCGTGTGGGGGGTTGCCGTGAGCTCTTGCCGACGTTGATGACCGAGTGCGTTGCTATCCCCGTTCGCATCGTCGGGTTGTTTGTTGTTGTTTGTTGTTAGTGCCGTCGTGCGGAATGACAGAGCCCTTGACACAATGAACACGACAAAGGTCCCCCGTGTAGCCCTGCAGACTGGCGGGGCAAGTGCTGTGAGCGAGGAGCGCCCATCAGGGTCGGCACGGCACACGAGGGGTGCAGTGGCCGGGACCACTCCTGGGCCGCCTTTGTCTCTACCCACCCCCGCCGTGTACACCAGGGGACTCGTTTAAGGCCGAGTCGACCTAAGAGTGGCCCAGGATCGGCTTCGATATTCGTCATCAAATGTTGGGCCAGTGAGCGGCTTTTGGCGAGCCCAGGTTCAGCAGCGTGGGCGCGCTAACCACGACATGACCGCTCCCCAGAGCACTTGCCCCAACAGCCTGCTGAGGCTGGACGGGGGGGGGGGGATCTTTGACACACACCACACACACACACACCGATGAACATTCCATGTTACAAACTTACAATGCAAGTATAGTGGCGGCAAGAGATTTGAGATGAGCGCGCTCTCTTCGAGGTCACGTGTTCAAGGGGGTCGCGTCCATCGAAGAGGTCTCCCTCCCCTCCGCCTCGTCTGCTCTGGCGTGTCAATAAAGCTGCGTCGTCGTGTATCTCTGTGCGTGTACGTGTGCGTGTGTACGTGTGTGTGTGCGTGTACGTGTGTACGTGTGTGTGCCTGCGTGTGTGTGTATGTGTGTCTGGCTTGCAAATGGGCATCGGGCTGAAACATCGTTTCTTTAAAACTGCTTTTTGTTTAGTTTATTGTCCGTCCCCCCACGCCTCCGATTAGTGCTGTTGGCTACGTACGGTGTGAAAGAAGTTCAACGTACATACGGTGGGGGGGGGGGGGTTCCCGCTCCACCACCGTGTGTACGGCGGTGATCGCTGATGTGTGTATCCCCCCCCCCCCCCCCCGAGTCATTTGCGGTGTCATTTTGGAATTTGGCAATCGGTGCATGGTGCCACCACCACCACCAACTCCTTGGCCAGCTCTCTCTGCCCAAATTCGGCTCAGGCTCTAGACCAGTCTGTAGGTTTACTGTGTCACTTATACAGGGCGCTTCCAAATATTTTTAACACTTATATGGGACTATCGTTTTTAATGGAAAGAGAACGGATAATACAACACTCTAACCTGATCACAAATGTCATCTTAATTGCTTCGAAAAGTGAAAGAGTCTCCACTTGCTCGCCATCGTTGTCAAATCGTTCCTGGAATCTTTTCCAGGTGGCCTCCAGAGCCCGGCGGCAGCACGTGTCTCTGTGGTGGTGGTGGTGTTGTCGCAAATTCTCAGAAGTGTTGTTCACAACTTTTTTTTACGCACCCTGTATCCTCCACTCCAACGACAGACACTGGTTATTTAGATATTCTGTGTATTACGTAATTCTGCGTCGAACCAGCAAACCATATTTAACGGAGAGGGGCCCTTGCCGATATGGCCCAGCAGTTCGCCAGCATTGATGCAAGCAAGCGTGGGGCCTCCTGCTTACGAGACACTGTGCGTTGAATCCGGCACAGGGTGTTGCTTGCATCTAAGTCAGTGCTGCTGAAGTGACGCACTCGCAGAAGGCTACCGGGGCCCGACGGCTTGTGTGCTGTGTCATAAACAAAGTTATCTTTGGTTCTTTCGGTAAAGTCACGTAGGTAAAAAAATAAAACAAAAATAACAGATCACGACGACAAGCGGTCGTCCTCAGGCGGAATAAAGGATTTAAAAACAAAGTTTTTAAATCCTTTATATGCGTGGCGGCTAGAGTCCTCTCGTCCTCTGGCTTGAGATGGCTGCCACCTATGGGTCAGGTGATTGCCTGCCACCATTAAGTAATTGGTAATTAAATATAATTTATTTTTTCCTAAAAAGTGTAAAATTTTGGAAAAAAAATTTCACGAAAATAAATTGTCACGCACAACGAGTCTGTGTGCAAAATGTCAGCTCGATTGGGTCACGGGAAGTGGGTTAAAAAACGTCCGAAAGATTTGCACGGTCGTAAGCGCGCAAGCAAGCAAGCGAACTTAATATAAAGGATTTAAAAAATAATCCAGCTCGGTGACTTTACCGAAAGAACCAAAGAGTATGGATTCCTGCAGTCACGAAAGCTTCAAATCCAGAAAAAAAAAAGTACTTTAATGTTTTTTTTTTTTAACGTGGAGAGACGGTCATGTGGAGAAGATGAATTTGCTGCTTATTCGAACCGATAGACGAGGGGTGACCTACGGCAGTACGCCACAAGAGGCCTCGCACCCCGGGCCACACTGATCAGAGCCTCGAGTCAAAAGTGGTTTCTCGCTCAGGATATTCATCCCCTGTTAACAGCCCTGCAAGGCCAGTGGTGGAAATTCCACATTTCTATGGCGGGGTGAGTATATCCAGAGGTTCAACCACCGTTATTGACTTCGCCACACAGTGGTGCTCATTTTTATAAGCCCCCGGAGGGAGGGAAGTGGGGATGATGGGCCGAGTCGACCCAAAATGTGAACTTGCAACCTTGCGATTGAGAGCCACTCACTCCATCACCGCACTCAAGTCACTAATGTCACTCCCAAGGGCCACCTCGTACTCGGGCCGACGCGCTCGTTACGCGAGTGCACGATGCCGCGGCGTGCGTTCCTTCACGTGCAGTTTCCCGCCTAAAGGTTTCTGAAAGTCCTGTTCGGCCCTCGGTCGGGACGAGGTTCGCACCGCCCCTGTCGACGCCTCCGGGCCGACCGTGCGGTGTTGGTCGACGCGCCCGACCAGGCCAACTGCACAGCAGCGTGCACTCTGGGCAGGCGATTTCTGTTCCAACAATCGAGTGGTGCTTTCCCGCTTGGAGGGAGCGGGCCACGACGCCGCTGGGCCGGCGGTCAGATCTGATAGACGACTTCATGTCGCTGGTCCTGCGAGTCGGAGCGCCGGCTCGGGAACACGCTCTCGCGCACGACCTCCCAGCCGCGGCCCGACGAGCAGCTGGTGACGATGATGGTGGGCGGCTCCAGCTGCTGACTCTGCTGCTGGGGCTGTGGATTGGTGGAGGAGCGCGTGAAGTGGCCGCTGACGCCCCCCGCTCCCTCGGCGCCGCTTGCCATGTCCTCGGCGCTGCCCCCGCGCCCCTCGCTGAACACCATGGCGTAGCGCTTGACCTTGTGGATGGCGCGCTCGTTCCGATCTTCGATCCTGCAGCACGCCCAGCGGGCGCATTGAACACACGTCACATTTCATTACGTATCGTGGTGCACTTCGTGCAGGTCGCGAACGAACGGAATGCTCGGCACGTCGACGTAATCAAGAGTTTGTTGTAACCTGGCTGAAGGGAGCAAAACTAAACCACCAGGATATTCGTCCAAAATGTTCCGGGTGATGTCTCTCGGCCACCCACGGCACCGCCAATAGTCGCCGCGCACGCGCTGGTGCCAACCGCCGTGGTGCATGGGGTGTGGGTCGTGGTGCCAACTGGCGCGGTGCACGAGGTGCGGGGCGTGGTTCCACCCACCGGAGGAACCGGCGGTCCCCCAGCCCGTACTCTTTGCCGCTCACGCCGGCGCGGAACCGCAGGCAGCGCGGGAGCCTCCGCTCCAGCAGGATGGTCGTGGCCGCCACCTGTGGGCGCGCGCCGAGAAAGAGAACGGAGTTGCCGGCGGGGCTCAGCGGCGCACCTCGCAGTAGCCACCGCTGCGGCCAGCTCAAGTCTCGATCCCCTTCCGAGGGTCACGCCGCCGCCGCTGTGACCACCCTCCCTAGAATCTATAAAACTAAGCTCATTAACTTGTTTTTATCTTACCAAGTAAGGCCCCACTGAGCTATCGAGCTCTTTTTTAGAAGCGGCCTTGCCACAAATGATAGCTCAACGAAGTGACATCATCATCACCACGTGAATATGTATAGCAGCCAAATAGTCTGAACACGTGATATTGTTGATTCTAAATGTGGAGGGAAAAACCGGAGGACCCGGAGGAAAACCCACGTGATCGCGGGGAGGGAGACACGTCAACTCCAAATATACAGCAGCAGGCGTCAGGGTCGGGATCGAATCCACGACTTCCTGTGTACCGGGCGAGGTAGTTAACATCTCATAGCTGCCGTGGTGCCCCAATCCAGATCCGGAGAAACGCTGCTGCCAAACAAAGTTGAACAAGGCAGACGTCTGGAATAAATAAACCCTTCCTCATTCGAGACCCAAATCTCATCATCGCGCCTCCTGGCGTTGGAAGTTCCTCCTCTTCCTCAAAGACACGTTTGTAACCTGTGTGTGTGTGTGACCTGTGTGTGTGTGACCTGTGTGTGTGTGTGTAACCTGTGTGTGTAACCTGTGTGTGTGTGTGTGTAACCTGTGTGTGTGTGTGTAACCTGTGTGTGTGTGACCTGTGTGTGTGTGTGTGTAACCTGTGTGTGTGTGTTACCTGTGTGTGTGAACTGTGTGTGTGTACTGTGTGTGAACTGTGTATGTGTGTGAACTGTGTGTGTGTAACCTGTGTGTGTGTAACTTGTGTGTGTGTAACGTGTGTGTGTAACTTGTGTGTGTAACCTGTGTGTGTGTGAACTGTGTGTGTGTGAACTGTGTGTGTGTGTAACCTGTGTGTGTGTGAACTGTGTGTGTGTGTAACCTGTGTGTGTGTGTAACGTGTGTGTGTGTAACTTGTGTGTGTGTAACTTGTGTATGTGTACCTTGTGTGTGTGTAACGTGTGTGTCTATGTGTAACCTGTGTGTGCGTGTGTTACCTGTGTGTGCCACAACTGCTCCTTTTCCACTGCCATGCGCGAGTAGGTGCTGCGCATCACGGCGATCAGGAGGTTGATCATGAGGACGAACGCGAACAGCATGTAGAAGGTGTACACCACCTTGATGAAGTCGGAGAAGTGCAGGCGGACGTTAAACCAGTGGCTGACGAGGCCGAGGAAGAGCTGGTACATGGTGAACCACGCGGTGTAGAAGTCGCGCCACTGGTTCCAGTTGTCGGGAATGAGGATCTGGAAGGTCAGATGGAACGCTGTGGGAAGGGACGAGAGGGGGGGGGGGGCACGGATTCTCAATGTGGATGTCCACCTCGACCAACTTCTCCAGCGTCAACGCTCTCCCAGGGTGGACAGTGCTGAGTGTGCAGGCGGTGCAACTGGGCTGGGCCCCAGGCGCCTTGCTATGAAGAGGGCAGGTGGGGGGTGGTGGTGTGGAGGATGGTAGTGTGGGGGGTGGTGGTATGCGGGGGGGGGATGTGGTGGTGTGACGGGTGGTGGTGTGGGGGGTGGTGGTGTGGAGGGTGGTAGTGTGGGGGGTGGGGGTGGTGGTATGCAGGGGGGGATGTGGTGGTGTGACGGGTGGTGGTGTGGGGGGTGGTGGTGTGGAGGGTGGTATGTGTGGGGGGTGGTGGTATGCGAGGGGGGGGGGGTGATGTGGTGTGGTGGTGTGGGGGTGGTGGTGTGGGGGGGGGGGGGTGGTGGTGTTGGGGGTGGTGTGAGGGGTGGTGGTGGTGCGGGGTGGTTGTGGTGTGGTGGTGGTGTCGGTTGGTGTGGGGGGTGGTGGTGGTGTGGGTGGTGGTGTGGGGGGTGGTGGTGGTAGTGTGGGGGGTGGTGGTGTGGGGGGTGTGGTGGTGGTGGTGTGGTCGTGGTGTGTGGTGGTGGTGGTGTCGGTTGGTGTGGGGGGTGGTGGTGGTGTGGGGTGGTGGTGGTGGTGGTGTCGGTTGGTGTGGGGGGTGGTGGTGGTGTGGGGTGGTGGTGGTGGTGTGGGTTGGTGTGGGGGGTGGGGGGTGGTGGTGTGGGGTGGTGGTGGGGTGGGGGGTGGTGGGGTGGGGGGTGGTGGTGGTGTGGGTGGTGGTGTGGGGGGTGGTGGTGTCGGTTGGTGTGGGGGGTGGTGGTAGTGTGGGGGGTGGTGGTGTGGGGGGTGTGGTGGTGGTGGTGTGGTCGTGGTGTGTGGTGGTGGTGGTGTCGGTTGGTGTGGGGGGTGGTGGTGGTGTGGGGTGGTGGTGGTGGTGGTGTCGGTTGGTGTGGGGGGTGGTGGTGGTGTGGGGTGGTGGTGGTGGTGTGGGTTGGTGTGGGGGGTGGGGGGTGGTGGTGTGGGGTGGTGGTGGGGTGGGGGGTGGTGGGGTG